GGCGTGCCGCGCTCGGCTCTGCCGGAGGTGGCCGGCCCGCAGCCCGTTCCCATGGAAACGAGAGGGAGATCGGCAAGGAGATGGGCTAGAAAAGGCTCCCCGCCGGCTTGCCGGGGGGCTGCGAGTCCCGCAGGAAAAGCTGCCAAAGAAGGGGACGCAGCGGTACCCAGCGGAGCGCTCTGGCCCAAATCCGGGCAGCGCTCGAGTTAGGCAAGGACGTGACCAGGGCGTTCGGGGACCCACCAGTTCAGTGAATCTCTCAGGTGCGCAGCGCGGCATCCAAATGCAATCAAAACCCGAAGGGGGAAGCCTGGCTCTGCAATTCCCGTTCACCTTCGCTGGCCCCGAGGAGGACGCGTGGGAGCAACGCAGCCCCGTACCCTGTTCAGGAAGATGTAACCTTCCTTAAGGTATTGGAGTTCAACTGGCCCCAAAAATGTAAACGGAAACTTTCCGAAGACTGCCTTTGCCACCAACTGCAGCTGCACGCAGAGACCTGCCAGCTGGCAGACATCGGACACAGACCTGGCCTCTGAAGTGCATTAGGCAGCGATAACCGTAATTAAATAGTTACTGGCGTGATTTCCCCTTGAGGGATGGAGTGGTTTCTTGCAGGCTCAGTGCAGGAGCCTCTCCAGGCCCGCTGGGCAGCGGCACAAAGCCAAGCCCTGCTCTCCCAGGTGGCCCTGCAGCTCCTTTAGGGGAACCGGGGTCCTGCAAGACCCTGAAGGGCCTGGTCCTGCAGCAGCCGGGGAAGACGTGGCCCCACTGTACCCTCTACAGACTCATCTGAGCAAGAGCAGCAGGTTTCAGCTGAGGGCAGCTCGCCTAGAGGCCACCGAAGGACTCCTGTTGCCCAGGTGTGGAAGGGCCACAGCTGAGTCTCCTGCGTGCGTCTGCGGATGTGCACTGGTCCAGCTCCTCTGGCCCGTCGGAGGCACGTGGCCTTATTCTTTACCACTCTCTGCCCCTCAGCACCACCCCCGAGAGAAAGACGGTCACTGTGTGCAAGGCAGGAGCTCTTAGAGCTGCAAAGTCGCCGAACAGCGCAGCACAGGCAGCAAAGAGGAACTCTTCCATCGCCCGGAATTGCTCCAGGGGAACCTCAGACCTGGCAAAACATCAGGACGAGGGGCCTTTTTGCGGCCCCTTTTTTCCCCAGAGCCCTCAGCGCACCTCTTGCAACGCTCCACTGGTCTGCAGGCATTTGTGTTTAAAACAGGGATGCATTTCTCTCAATGACTTATTCAGGTGCACAGAGCCGCTCATCAGCAAAATGTGTCCCAGCACATGGTCAGCACGTCTCCCTGAAGCGTCCCTTGGAGTTCTCCAGAGGTTTCCGATCTAGGCAGTGATCTGCCCCAAGCCCTCCGTGGAAACGGGGAGAACTGGAGAAGGGTTACAGAAGATGTGCAAGCCAGCTAGAGGGGCAAAGCAAACTGTGCATTTGATCCACTGATGGGAAGGAGAGGAACAGGAACAGAATGGGGGAGAGTCAGCTGCGCTGCAGGTACCAAACAAGCAACGTGGTTAAGATGACTAAAGTCACAGCCTATAATTACTCCCCATCCCTTCATAATGAACACTCATCAGCACTTAACAACCCCCACGGCTCTCTAATATTCATCCCTTGTTCATACGCAGGCACTTCCCCTCCTGTGTGGTACCTTGACGCGGTTGATGTTAACACCACTCATACTTCCGCTGCGGTCTACAAGGAAAATAAATTCTCCTTGGGCTTTCCGGAGGTCTGGCTGGACAGTCCTCAAGTCAGGGCAGAAGTTCAGCATGATGACAGGGTGGTGGGGGATATCCTTGTTCAGACGCTTCCTGATGATTTCAGTCTGCAAGAAAAGAAGGAGAGAGCTCAAGAGTGACAGCACTGCGGTTGCTTTTGCTGCCCCTTGCAGCCACAGGGGAATAATAGCAGGGCTGTGTGATTGAGGATATAAGTATGTGGTCTCTCGTGGGCAGGTAGCAGCTCGTTCTGGCCTCAATGATGAGCTCTGCTTGTGCTGCAGCTTCTTCTGTCCATCTCCCCTGCAGACCTGCTCCACTGGTGGATTCTTGTCTCTGTCCAGCCAGAG